CCCCAAAACCCCAAAACCCCAAAACCCCAAAACCCCAAAACCCCAAAACCCCAATTTCCAACAATTTATTTGAAATTTTAATTAAAAAATTTAGTACTTATATGGCCGCTTGTAATAAGTTGAGATCTTCTTAAGCAGTTCAGGATTTTGGACTTCATGTGTGGTGATCATTGGCTTGATCATTTGGTTTTTAGCAGAAGTTGAGGTGCTGATGGAGGTCTGGGAAGGGTACCGAGTGGTCTCTCTGTAGGACATAGGCTTTATATGGATCTGTTTCACACCGGGAATGCCTTGTTTAGGTGCTTTGGAGGGTGCCATAGGAGATGGACCCCTTGCTGCCTTATTTTGATTTGGAATGAGGTACTCCATGGTTTCAAGAGGATTTCAAGTTTTTCAAAGATTTAACTTTCTTTACATGCTTTGATTGTTCGGTAGCATTAGAAACCTGGCTTTGCTTGAACTTAAAATATTTCTCCATGCCACTTGAAGGATATCTTGCAGTCTGAGGAATGATCTTAGATTTAGACTGAGACTGATTCATCGATCCCTTCTTCTGGCCAAAACTTTTGACATATCCAGAGTACCTGGAAGACTCTTCAGTAGAGCATTTATTCTTAACTGGCTTTGAAGAATTCCGATATTTATACTTGCTCCCTGCCGGAGATACTCTTTTCGATTTCTTGCTCTTTGAATCATACAATTTGAAGCTCTTTTTGTTCTTCATATGCTTAGTATTTTTACTATTTTTAGATACACTTCGATAGCTAGAGGGATGATGCTGAACTTTAAAGCTTTTGATCTGATTGAAATCAACTCCTTTTTGAGAGATAATTTTTCCTTTGTCAGTTGCAACACTTTGATAGAAAAGTTTTTCAAAATCTTCAATATTCTTATTGGATGTGGTCTTGTCTCCATCCTTCGACTTAAAAGTCCATTTCAAAGTGTTCGCACTCCTATCGGTCAGGTTCCCTGCCACTTCTCGTGCACTGTTCAGTGTGTGGGTGTCTACAATGTTTAGATGGCTGTCCTTGGTCTTTGAGACTTTGTCTTGAGAAATCTTGAACTTGTTTCTGTCGCTCTTACAGTAAGCTTTCTTGGACTCTTTCTTGTGATACTCAGCCACTTCGCTCTTGATCTGAGGCGGATGTTGCCGCAGAGCTTTGCTCTGAAGTTCGTTCTTGTGCTTCATTGATACAGGCTGCTTGGACGGCTTCACTTTGTGTCTGAGGTTGTTCTCAGTGCCGTGTTCATAAGTCTGTTTATTTTTGCTGAGTTTACGTGGGCTGCCTGTTGGAGAAGCGATGATTTTCATGGGGATACCGTTGATGTCTTTCCAAGAAAATTTCTGTGTCATGAAGGCAGTAGGAGGGCGTTTGTCAACAGTAGAAAACAACATTGGTTTCTTTGTATTCATTTTCTTCACAGGACCATGAGAACTACTACTTTTAGGCCTTTTATTTTGCTTCCTCGCTTGACTATAAATTGCTTTCTTATCTAACTTTGGTTCATTGTATCCTTTTTCCTTCTGTTTGACTCTCCCATCATTAGAGTTCACATTCTTCCGATGCATAACCATATAGTTTTGAGCTAATGGTTTTTCGACCCTGTTAGTTCTTTCAGTGTTTAAATAATCTTTCTTAACTTTCTTTTGCACTTCTTTGTATGAAAACACTTGATTTTTCAAGAAAGGCTTGACCTAGAGAATAAAGAGATTGCTCTTACGTTTAATTTCTTCTTAGTTTCCTTATTCTCCTTCCCTGGCTTCACCATTTCTTTAGGAGCTTCTTGTCAACTACTATCAGATATACTATTATCCTTGACCAGAAATTTTTCAACAAGCTCTCCGAGATCATAATCCTCAAGCCGTTTGACTACTTCTTTATTTATTAATTTCTCCAGTTCCATCAAGTCTGACAACACGGCTTCCCTCTCCACTACAGGTTTGTGAGTCTAGCATCCGGGATACTACTTGGAATGGGAATGAATCAGTAATGAGAGAATTAGTTTTCAAATTCTTAACAGATTCAATAAACTTAGAATCAAACATCATCTCGGAATACTCTTTAAACAAGATACTACTGCTATCTTCTTTCTTGGTAGCCTTCTTCTTTTCCTTCTCCTCCAGCTCTTGGAAGAAGCGTTGACGCTCATCAATGGCGATCTGCTTCCGCTCAATGTTCTTGAACATGTATCTGTTCTCTTCCAGGATGATGTAATTGGGAAAGACCTTGGAGTACTTGTCATAGAAAGTATAGATTTTAATCAGCCGCTCTTCACATTCATCCTTTGTGTAGATTCTCTTAAGAAATTCAGAAATATCATCATAGATTAAGTAGTCCTTGAACACAGAGACAAGGTTTGTGGTATCATTGTAGATTATGTCATTAACCACCTTCACATTGTAGTAGTCCATCCCTGTTAGGTACTTTGAGTTCAGATTTGACTGGATCAAATTGCCATAATTGTTCTTCTTGTTGCAAAATTTGCAACATTCCTGTGAAGACATGAAATATGATTGAATCCGTGACAATCTCATTATTATATTCTCGTCCTTTGATTTCTGGGATTTTTGAGTATTCTGAGACATATTTGAGTACCGAGGGATTGAACCCTTTGAGAAAGTCATTCCTGAATGACCTCTAGTATGAGCAACATGAGGATGGTTCGCTAATTGTTGGCAACCTCCACCCCTCGGATTTGACTCATTTGGCGAGAACTGAGTGCTTATAGTGTGAGGTGAGAAATTTCATCAGACATTATGGCACCCCATATTTGAATCTTTCATCATCATCAATCAATGGTTTCATCTTCAAGAGCTTAAAGCTGGTGGAGGTGTAGGAGAGTTATACTTGCTCAGATTATTATTAACTATCATTTCATGTGCTGCAGAGCAATTATTCTCATAGTTCATGCCGAACATAGCATGATGATTATTATGATGATAGAAGTCTAAATCATTTTTACAATTTCTCTGATTATTGACTCTCATCATTTTATAATTTTTGCAATTGGCTCAATTACAATGGTTCTCTCATTTAACCTCAATTTTCTTCTTAGCCTTGCTAGATTTATGTTGCAAGAACTCTTTAAACTCCAGTCCAATGTCCAGGTTCTGGATAGGCTCAGTGTCTTGGTTATTAGAGGAGGATTCTTCCTTTTTATAGAAATTATTATACTTCTTGAAGAACTCCATGCCGTCTTCCTCGTTCATATTTGAATTTAAATACTTATAATTATGAAATTGCTAATGGGGTTTTGGGGTTTTGGGGTTTTGGGG